TCTGCTAATGTGCATGTGAAATGGTAGAGAAGGCATCCTGCTCCCTAGCTTGTGTGTGTAGATGTGGGTGGGTGGGTGGGTGGGTGGGTGGGTGTCCTCTAGGAGGAGCGGGGGGGGGCAAGGGAAACGAAGGGAAAGGAAGGGAGGGGAAGGGAGCCTCAGGGAGGGGGAGGGAGAGAAAATTTCCTTCGGCTCGTGAGGGACAGAATTAGACTGCAGGAAACCAAGGAACAAAAAAGAATTGGACTGCAGGAACCATCTCGAGGGTGAGCGAAGGAGAAAGGGAGGTGGAGAAAAGGGGCAAAGCGATAGAATCCTAGCGAGAGAGGCCTTTTGTTGGGAGAGAGGAAGGTGTAGACATGCATTCAGGGGAGGGGTACATCAGGTACGTCCGGTCGCTGTCATCCAAGCATGTCAGACCTGTCTGGACTCAGGCACGTCAGGCATGCGCGCAGGCTGGCAAGCATGTCAGACGTGCTTGTCATGCCTACCGTCGCAACGCGCCAGTGCCCTTCAAACGCCTCTCTGCCGATTCCTCGAGTGATCTTGATGACATGGAAGGAGAACAACTCCAACGCCGACGAAGACGACGACAGCGCAATGGGGGAGAAGAGGTCGAGGTAGGAGGAGCAGGAGGAGGGGGAGAAGAGGGAGAAGAAAGTGGAAGAGGAGGAGGAGGAGAAGGAGAAGAAGGAGAAGAAGGAGAAGAAGGAGGAGGAGAAGGAACTGGGAAAGAAGGAAGTAGTCGCACTGCCAGTCCGACAAATACAGTGAACCAGGTCAGTGGAGAAGGAGGAGGAGGTGAGAAAGAAGGTAATGGTGGTGGTCCTGGTAATCAACCAGAGAGCGGCAAAACGGTGAGTGACCTTTGCAAGCGGGCACGTCGAGTTCTGCACCAGGCTGGAAAACACGTCAAATACACGTATGAGAAGTTGCAGCTGCAGCCTCGGTATAGGTTGCATGCTGCTGTTTCTGCACGTCGTAAAGGTTCACGGATCAAGCATCACGAGGAAGAGGAGGAGAAGAGAGAGGAGAAGGAGGAGGAGGAGGAGGAGGAGGAGAAGGTAGACAGAGAGAATGTGGTGGAGAAGGAGATGAAGAAGAAGGAAGAGAAGGAGGAGAAGGAAGATGGCTGCGTGCTTGTCAACAGCTCGTCGAGTGAAAACAAGGAAGGCCAGGCAGGTCGACAAGTCAAACGCGCCTGCAAGAAAGTGAAAACGGTCAGCCTGCAGGCTGGCCGGACGGCCGGCCAGGCCTGCATACGTATGGGGAGGATGGGAGTGCATGCCTGCAGAGATCCGCGTCAGACTTGTCAGCGAGCGCAGAGGTCTGCGCAGCGCGCCTGCAAGCGGACACGTCAGATCTGTATCCGTGCCGGGAAGCTCGTGCGGCAGGCGTGCGTACGCGCAGGCGTGCTGACGTGTCAGGCCTGCTCTCGCGCCCGGAAGCAGGTCAAGAGAGTGTGCGGTAAGTCGGGCAGCCGCGAAAAGCTCGAGGCAAAGCATTCTGACACGTCAGACGCGCAGGCTACAGCTGCTGACACGTCAGCGCTTATCGATCGAGATCATGACACGTCAGACACGAAGGCCGCCGACGGCCTGCCCGCCATGCAGGCTGATGGCACGTCGGACGCTGCTACACTTCTTCCTGACACGACAGACGTGCAGACCGGCGACGAGGCGGCCATGCAAACTGAGTCCACGTCGGACATTGCTTACCTGCCTCCTGACACGTCAGACATGCAGGCTGCTCACTCGTCAGACAGAGAGGACTTTGACTCGTCAGACATGAAGACTGGCGACGACGCGGTCATGCCGGCTGATGACAGCTCGAACACGTCAGACATGCAGGCTGCTGAGACGTCGCACAAGCAGACCGGCGACGAGCCGGCCATGCAAGCTGAGTCCACGTCGGACATTGCTAACCTGCTTCCTGACACGTCAGACATGCAGGCTGCTGACGCGTCAGACAGAGAGGACGCTGACTCCTCAGATATGAAGACCGGCGATGAGGCGGCTATGCCGACTGAAGACACGTCGGAGATTGCTAAGCTGCCTCCTGACACGTCAGAGATGCAGGCTGCGGACACGTCAGACATGAACACCGGTGATGAGGCGGCCATGCAGCAGGCTGATGACACGTCGGACACTGCTAACCTGATTGCTGACACGTCATGCATGCAGGCGGCTGAGACGTCGGACAAAGAGGATGCTGACACGTCAGACATGCAGGCTGAGGACGTACAGGATCATGGTGCCACGTCAGACATCCACGTGGATAAGACGTCAGACAAAAGATCTGTGGATGATGAAACGTCAGACAGCCAGGATCGCTACACGTCGGCAATGCACTGTGCTACCGACGCGTCAGACATGGAAGCTGCTGCCACGTCAGACATGCAGGGTGATGATACGATGGGCGAGGAGGACGCCGACACGTCAGACTTGTCGAGCTCGTCGTCGGCTGACACGTCAGACGTGCAGACTGATGACATGACACATTTGCTTGCAGGCGAGCAGAACTCCTCGTCGGCGCCTTAACCCATCGACAAATAAATCATTTTCTAAAAATAGATTTTTATTTATTTATTTAATTATTTATTTATTTATTTAAGCATCGGATATACTAACAGAAACCAGAAAAAAAAAAAAAAAAAAAAAAAAAAAAAAAAAAAAACCCGAGAATTGACCACCAGCCTCGTGATATGGAAGATGCTCGTCGTCGGCCGACACGTCAGACGTGCAGGCTGATGACAGGAGTCCACCTTCGGTTGCAGGCGGGCAGAACTCCTCGTCGACAAATAAATCAGTTCTAAAATTAGTGTTTTTTTTTTTCGGTTTAAGCATCGGATGTACTAATGCAAAACAGAGAAGTTGCACTTGACCAAGGAACTTAGCTCAGTTGCTACACCAATGACCTGTCACAAAAAAAAAAAAAAAGAAAACCTCTGTTCAAATCCTGCTGGACCTTGATGAATGGAATACATCATTCGGAATTATCTAGGACCGTTTCGATCGATGAACTTATCCCAAAGCCGTTGCCTTTTTTTTTCTTTTTTTTTTTCGCCGTTTTCAAAAGGCAAGAAGTTGCTTTTTTTTTTTTTTTTTTTTTTTTTTTTTTTTTTTTTTTTTTTTTTTAAGGAAAGTCCTTTTTTTTTATGCCGGGAAACCGGGCCGGCCAAGGGTGCCAAGTGGCAACATTGGAACGAGAGATTAGTTCTTAGTACTTGTTGTTACAGCGGCCGCTCGGTATGACTCAAAGCTCCAAAGGGCCAAGGCCATTATGAGGAAGAGGAGCACCATAGCATAGCACAGAGACACACGATGAGAGCAGGGGAGCATCTTGTGGAGAAGCGACGGAGAGAAGGGGAGGAGAATGCTCAGAATGGATAGCTGAAGACAGAGAAGAAGAAATGACAATAAGTCTTGCAGTAGGGCCCACGGAAGTGTTTCTGCCCTTTTTTTATTGCCTGGATCGTGTACGTTTTCTAGAAAAAAATTAATGTGGAAAGTAGGAAATGTGGAGGAAATGTGGGCCACTGGAAAAAAAAAAAAAAAAAAAAAGGAAATGTGGACCACCACGAGGTTCTCCTGGTGGGCTCCCTCTGACTTAGGCCCATGATGCCTTTCTCGGAGGGGGGGGGGACCCGCCTATTAAACGTTGAAGAAGTTGCCATTTGACCGCGAGCCACTTTTTTTTTTTCTTTTTCTTTCCGGCGTTTCCACACTTCTTCTTTTTTTTTTTTTTTTTTTTTTTTTTGGACCATTTCTCGATTTATGTGTGTCATCCTTACTTGCGCAGGGGCCATGATGGTAATCTTCTCTGTATCGTTCCAATTTCAACGGATGTCCCGAAGTACGCACTTCCTTTTTAGGCTGCTGACCCCACTTCCTTTGAACCAAGCTTTTGTATAAAAAACATAAAATTTGATCCCCAAACCCTAATTTCAGTGGTTTTTTTTTTTTTTGCTAATCTTCTCTGTATCGTTCCTTCGGGACATCCGTTAAAATTTCAGTGTTTTGATGCAGAAGTACATCCCCAAATGATACCCGTCTCCGCAAAGAGCAAAATTAATCCATGTCCATCATGGCACAAGTGGTTAAAGGGGAGGAACCCCCAGGTCCCCCACTTTCAGCTTCTCACTAAGGGGTCCAAAACTGAAATTAAGGTTTGGGCCCTTTGGGGGTCAAATTTTTAAGGGGGGAGGGGGGGGGGGGGGTCCTACAAAAGCCTGGTTCTTCAAGATGTTTTTTTGTTTTTCCTTCTTTTTTTAATAGAGGACTCTTTTTTTTTTTTGTTTGTACAAAAGCCTGGTTCATCAAGATTTAGGGCCTCGCCACACCAATGTCGAAACATCAGGAAATTCGACATATGTCAGGAGATTTTGGACATTCCCTCTTTCGACAGAAAACCCCTCGTCGCCACACCGCATGTCCAAGTGAAGAACTCACCAGTCATATGCACAAAAGAGACAAACTGGGGTGAAGATAGGACAAGCGTTGGTGCGTTCTCTTTTTAGACATTCGGGCAAGAATTCGACATCCCATCGGAGGACTGTTGAAAATGTCCAAGTTGCAGGCCTGAAGTGGAAACGAGCCCATCTCGAGAGGAGGTGTCGAAACCCTTTCCCTGACAGCTCCTGATTTTTTGCATCTCGGATTTCGGGCCTCGCCGCACGACACAACTAACGAAGCGAAACGATCACCAGAGTCGCGAGGCCTCGCGAAGCCCTGATCCAGCGTTTCTCTTCGTTTTTTGCCTCACCGCCCCACAGCACACACGAAAACTCTCGTGACAACGCCCTGGCGAGAGTAGTGTGGGATTCGCTTCGCTACGGTCCAAATTTGTGGATGCTACGGTCCAAATTTGTGGACGCTACGGTCCAAGTTTTTGGATGGACCTCGGTTGGAGCGATGCAGCACACTCGTGAGATTTCGCAGCTCCTCCACCCTACCAGCGGAGGACCTACGAGTTCGCGAGTGCTGCAGGCAGGGAGGAGTCAGCACGCTTGTGAGGGCTCGTGAACTTGGAGACTGACAGCATTCACGAGTTTTTCTTGACAGAGGTCGTGTGGGTGCTATGCGGCGACTGCTTCACGAAACGAAGTCGTTTTTTTTTTCGTTTCGTGCACCGTGCGGCGAGGCCCTTCGACATGCTGTGTGGCGAGGAGAAAATGTCGGAAAATCAGTTTTCGACATTGGTGTGGCGAGGCCCTTGAACAAAAAACTAAAGTTAAAAAATTGTTTGTTTTTTTTTGGGGTGTTGTCGGGCAAGTGGTCCCGGGCCAATCTAGTAGCCTAGCAAAACAAAAAAAAAAACAGACAAACAAACAAACAAACCTGTGATGATATAATAATCCCTTTTTCTTGTTAAGAAAAAAAAAGAAAACAGTTAAGAAAAACAAACAAACAAACATTGTCAAACAAACAAACACAAGTACACTTTTCATTTCCCCCCCCCTCGAAATTGCACTTTACTATCAGGGCACAGTGCCCAAGGCAGTTACATAGACAAAGGACCCTGCGTAGCGTAGCACGGCCTACGTGTACACAGGTTGCGCGTACACGCGTACTACACGTATTCCTGTATGTGACATGTACGTGCGTATACATATTCCTGTACGCGACACGTACATGCGTCATGGTACCACACGCATTCCTGTACGCGACATCTACGCGCGTACACGCCCTCCCCTTGGGAATACGTAAAAAAAAAAAATTAAAAAAAAAATTAAAAAAACTCGAAAAAATCTGAAAAAAACAGTATGTTATGCAAAATAATATTTCCAACAACTTTTGCCTGCGGTCTGGTCCCACCTACATTGTTCAGAAAACTCAGCATTGGGTACTCGACGACGAGTGGTAACATGAGATCACCGTGACGGTCCACACATGTGACATCCGACGGATGAATGTAACAATGTTCTTTTGAGCGGAGGAAATCGAAAGTGTGTGTTTTTTTTTGTCTTTTGTCTCACAAAAACAAGTTCCTCGGAATATTCCTGTCTTTGCCATGGGGCATTACCCTTCCCCACGAAGTTTAGAAATCTACCTCAGGCTGCACGAGGCAGGGTAGGGTAGATATCTCAACTGAGAGCAAAGTAAGTAGCTCATGTGGTGGCTCCGCTTTCAGTACCCAAAGCACAGCACAGCGTGCCAGGCACTGTCACGGTCGTCGTCAGTCCTTAGTCTACAGGTGGTGTGCATGTACCCTCCCTCCCGACAACTGTCAGGTGCGGGAATCGCGGATTCACCACGGCCCAACATCATAGTACAATATCATAGTACAATATCATAGTACAATAATGAAAGCGATGTCTCCGAAATGTATTAAACATCATTTTGCTTTTTTTTCAATAATTGCCTTTCTTAGCGTCACATCATGAATGATGACTCACATGGTTGAGTTGTCATGGACTCATGGCGCAAAAATAGTGTGTCTGCAAGAAACAAAACTTGATAGAGCCGCTACCAACAACCAATTATATTGGTGGAAAGGCTCCCGATGCTGGGCCCCGGCAGTTGGCACTAGAGGGGGAGTTACCGTAGCAATTATTTTTCCGCTGACCCTTCCAATCATTGACAAGTTCGTTGACTACATGATGTCATGATCTGGGACCGTGAGGGCAAATGGGTACGGGTAGCTTTTGAAATGGATGGCATTGGGTTGTAACAGTTATGGGCTGTATATACAATGTGTACGCACCTGCTGAAGGTAGGCCCGGGAAAAGATTTTTCGATTTGTTGTTGGGTACAGTACCGAAGGTGGATCACTTGATTCTTATTGGGGACTGGAACACAGTGCAATAAGTTAAACCCTGTTTAGATTCGACAGTGCCCCGTCCTCCGTCTACAGATGCTCAAACACTTATTTCGCTCATGGCAGCTAAGGCTGGACTGACGCATATAGTCATCTCTACCCACATGACCCTTCTTTTACCTGGATTGGTACTGTAACAGTGCCGTTAACGCCTACACACTGTCTTCCTCGAACCAGGATAGACCTCTGCTTTTTTTTTCTTTTTTTTTTTGTGGGTGTGAAAGCCCTTCGGCAACTGCTTGCTCTCACCTCCACTGCCACTGCTGCAAGACGTGCAGGTACTTCCGATCCCAGGATCAGATCACTCGCCATAATAGTAATTGCTTTTTTTTCTTTTCTTTTCTTTTCTTTTTTTAATTTTTGTAATTGCTTATTTCACTAAAACGGGGTCACAAAAAAAAAAAAAAAAAAAAAAAAAAAACGCAGGTACTTAGATCAGATTCTGTGTCGAGTGCCGACATGGTTATCAGATTCTCAGATTCTCTGTCGAGTGCCGACATGGTTAACTAAAGACCGGCACTTTGTCAAAGAGGTGCTAGACATGTTGAAATTGAGGTCATCACCATACCCTCAACCTAGTACTCACAATCTCGAAGATTATATATATGTGGCCTTATCTTCATTATTGCCCTTTCCCGTACTCCGGTCCCAGCCCAGCGATGAGGCTACTGCCCGTACTCATAATTATATACGTCGCTAAAGCCAATAGGACTGGACGGTCTTCCTGCTCAGTTTTTCCGTGGATTCTCACTTCACTTGTTGCCTGAGCTGTTGTCGATCTGTCAAGCTGTTTGGAATGGAGCCTCCTTGCCCCCGACAGCATTACAAGGGGTTATCACTTTTGTTTTCAAAAAGGGGGACTGTACCGACATTGCGAATTACAGACCTATCACTCTCATGCCAGCACTGTATAAAATCCTTTCTAAAATAATGACAGCTAGGCTGCAAAATGTCCTCCCGTCCCTTATACATCAAACCCAGACAGGTTTCCTCCAGGGGA